ATACATCCTTATATAGAGGTCCACATAACTAGTTGACTAAGCAGTAAAACATGACACGTGTACAAGGCTATAATAGAAAGCTTAAACTAATAAATTGAATGTTAAAGTAATAGAACAACCTAACTAAAAACTAATCACTAACTCTATCGTCATATACACTAATATTCACCTTTATATTTTAGAGTTTGCTGAAAAGAGAGTTGTGGATTATTTGTGTTATGTTATTCAACATCAATTGCAATAATAACAAAGAAAAAAATATATCATTCCACTATTTTCTCCAGTAGATTTGTGCACTAACTTGGCGGATATAATGGCAACTGATTAATTGTGATGCAGCAGAGGAAATTCTTGCCTATTTTTCATCTGAAAATACTGTATATGTATTATGTGTACATATGTCAAGTGACAAAACCTACCCCTCCCTTGTTGTGTCCTTGTCCTTTGTCTCTATCTCTGTCGTAGCAATAACTAGTTCATTTTCTGCTTTCATTTGACTTTCACTCTCAACTCCCCTTGCTTTCGTCATCCAGCTGATTTTGACAACTCACAGGCTTTCCTTTTCTTTTTTCTTTTTCCCTTTCTTCTTCCTTCTGCTGCGCAATAACAATAACAAGGGAGAATATGACAAATTCACAAACATTTATTCCTAATTTTCTTTCATAGTTTTCTTATCTCTCTTGTTTAAAGAAGGGCTCATAACAGATTAATATCGCCTACTATCAAATAATATAGCCCAAAACAACAGGCGTTTGGTGCATGATGGATCGATATATATGGACGGATCATTTGAGTACTAAAAGTGGGCAAGTCACAAACAAAACGATGTCGATGTGATGGAAAAAGTAAAAAACAGGAGGTGGAGGAAACATGTGAGAGATCTGAGGAGCTAATAACGTATGCACGAGCTCAGCGTTCAAGAGAGACATGAGGACAATATGAACAAAGTTTGCAAGGCGTGGTCCCTCTAGCTTTGCATTTCTAACAAGTGGTGGGTAAGTAGACGTTCGACCATCTCTTTCTAAATTTACATTCATTAAGAAAATTTAGTACCACCATGAGTCGAAAACAATAATAAATTGTTTGTGTGTCAGTTTAATTTTGTTTTTCATCAACATCTAGAATTATTGTTAATTTATATCAATTCAGAAAAATCGAGGTGTGTGGGTCAAGCACAACACATGCAGCTCTCTTCTTATTATAAGAAATTAATAACTGTACTCTTCATATTTTTCAAAGTTTCAATTACTCGTATTATGCTTTTATCAAACACTGCTATTCAATAATTTCAACGATTTCATCCTTTTCAATCCGAAAAACACATATTTTCGAATATGTAACCACATATATGGGTCCCATGACGAAATAATTAATGAGAGCAGGGCATATTGCAAGTATGAAGTAGACTTTATAGTTGCTGAGTCTATATTGGATCTAGTTTATTTCTCGATCACGACTAACAAATTAATAGTTGCATATATTATTTATTAAAAAAATTATAAAATGAGCATGCTATGTGTCAGAATTGTATTTGATTTTTAATTTGTTTAAAATAAAAATGAATACAGTAACTAATTTAGATCAACATAAAAGTGATGAAACTCCAGTTCTTTAAATAAATGGTTAGAGACTTATAGGTTATAATTTTGAAAAGACACGCATATTAAAATGTTGTCTTGTTTAATATGAGAAGTTCCTTTGTTCATATGAAAGGTTGCATATATGCATGCTAACATTCATCAATCTAAATAGATAGATCCAAGATTCATATGAACATGTACCTTGAATGTTGTGCTCAACATGTATGTTCATTTCTTTTTAATAAATAAAAATATATTTTATTCCATTTTGCCATTCCATTCCAATTCAAAAACTAAACGAGCTTTTAACCAATAAATATGCTATATAATAGAGAGGATGGTAAATGGAAATGTATAAGTTGCTGATCAAAGATAGGAACCACTAGTAGAGAGGATAAAATTTAAATTGCCCATACATTACTTTTTTTTTTTTGAAAAAAAAAAAACCTTGTAAGAGGGAGCGCTTTAAAAGCACTGCATATTATTAGGCGCTCTTATATAAGAGGAAACACTCTTTGTCAAGCACACGAGCCCGTATAGTGTGGATGATCGAGATTTGAAATTTTAAACATTAAATTTGTTTTCTTATAATAGTGATATATTTAGATTATTATTACATTTATTTTCAATTATTATATACAAAAATAATTAGATTTAGATTGTCAATTTTTCATATAGACCGTTCAGAACTTATTCCACATAAACACAAGCATTATTCTAATTTATCCAAGGTACTACGCACCAGCTTGGAGCTCGATGAGGATCCATAGAAGTTCTTCAAGTCTCTCTCTCTCTCTCGTACTATTCCTCTTCAAGCTAGACAAAAATAATGTGGACCAGAGGCCGTTTGACCCGAAGACACACATGTTTGTGGAAAATGTGTCCGTATATATAATCTCAGTTTAAGACCCTAACAAAATTTCCAATTTGATTAATCCTTGAATCAGTCAAGTTGTTATAGTAATTCAATCTTTTTTTTTTATTTTTCACGATTTAATTTCACGGATCAACCAATTATTTGTCCTGCTAATTTGATTCGGATTCTTATAGGTGAAAATTAAAAACACAGTGGGTAATAATTAACATTTTTGTTAGCTAGGCAACTCATTTTGCTTTTCAACGAGAAACTTTAATATCTTTTGGCAATGAAGTTTTTATATTTTTGGATAAGGGTCATTTTTTTCTTAGACTATATAGAGAAGAAAATAAATACTCTTAAATTTAATTATAAATTAATTTTATTTCTCAATTTTAAAAATTTACTTCCGTAACACCTTATCATTTTATCATCATTAGTGAACTTCATATTATATTTTTTTAATATTTTTTATTATAAAATATTTGAGTTGAGAGGCAAAAATCATCTTTCAAACAAAATTATAGAGCAAAAATGACCCTTAATTTAATAAAAATATTAAAAAATAATAGAATCTATTGATGACTAACAGAGAATAAGTGTTTTTAAAATTAGAATGATGATAAAAAGAATCTTTAAAATTGAGAGACTAACTTGATTTATAGTTAAATTTAAAAATATTTATAATTTTTTATATATAATTTAAGAATAAAAATGATCATTATTCCTGTATTCTTTGACACGTTGCTGCTTGCAATGTTAGAATAAGTTTACTTTTAGATAAAATTATCATAACAGCCCTTCCACCAATGCGGCCTTCACGAAAATTCAACTCAAGTTTAAATTAATCATAGATTGAGAGACCTAATAATAAGTTTAAATTACCACATGTCCATGTCAACAACCGAGGCATATTGTATTTAGATCCAATACTTAGCATTTGCTATTTGAACTGACCAATCCGATTCTTTGCTAATGGACCGACCAATCGGTAGAATAAGCATTTCTACAGCATAAGCAATGTGCAAGACCCATTTTTTCCGCCAGGTGCCAACGCAGCAATAAACGTTACTATTGGCTTATGTGCATCGACATAGAGATCAGAGGCTCCCATTCCACCACTTGAGAATAATAGTTTTACTCCACGTCTCTGTACGCAGGTCACATGTTTTTTTTTTTTTTATAAATTTACTTTGCATAAAAAATAGAGAATTAATTGTTTTTTAATTTTGTTTTTATACATCTTTATGATAGCAGAGTAAAATGTTAAATATGGGAGAAATCGTTTTGAAATAAGCTAAAATATATGTTTAACTCTCTAACTTTATATAAAATTTTAATTTAATTCATTAATTTTGTAAAATATCTTTTTAATCCATTAATCTTAACTTTATTATTTTCAAATGATTATTTTTTATATTAATCATTATTATTTTAAAAAATTAAACTTAATATGTCAACATTTAAAAATATTTTGTCAATATTTAAAAGTTTAATGTAAAAATTTGTTGGAATAAAACGAACAATGTTAAGATTAAAAAGACTAAAAATAGACTTTATAAAGATGAGGGACTGAAATAAAATATTATATAAAATGAAAAGACCAAATGCATATTTTAACCTTTTAAATATGATTGATACATTTAACAATGGTAAAATAAAAAAATTATTTTATTTTAGGCAACATCAATAATTTAATCATACATCATTGATGTGAATAAGGTAGTTAGGAGTGACTTACTCCCTTCGATTTTTATTATATGATAGAGTTAACTAATTTTACAGTTCCTAATAAATGATATTTCATATAGTTAAACTTATAAAAAATACTTGACGTTTCAATTTCACTTTTCATTAAAACTAAAAATCACCATAAAGTATGTATAGGAATCACAACTTGATGCAATTATAAGAGGGACAATATTGAGGAAAACAATTAACTACTGCTCCTCCAGATTTTAATAGAGGACAAACTTTGAAATATTTTTTTGTCTTGATATAAAGAAAAGTTAGAGTAATTAATTTTATTGTGTCATCTTGTCCCCTATTTTATGTGTTATACTAATTTAAATTCATAGACAATAATTTATTTTAATTATTAATTATAAAAAATAAAATCATAAAGTTATGTATTTTTTTTAACAATATTTAGCATATAACTATTATATTTTAATAAAGGAGAAGTTCATTAAATTTATTTTATATTAGTAATGGAAGAGGGCTGATCTTTATTTTATATTTAAAATTAAATAGAGTTTTAAAGTCATGCTAAATATTCAAGTGAATATATATAAAAACAGAGCTAGTATAAAAAAAATAAAAAATGCATCTTGAGGGTAGGGGAGCAGGGGCCCGCAGGTGAAAACAGCATAAAGGAAGGGCAGTATTCAAGAATAAGAAAGACCAGAAGGGGGCGGACTCTAGACACGATAGAGATTATTATTATTGGTTTATGTAAATAAATTAATAATATCTCCCTTAGACAAAAATCCGCTGTTGGAACAGCCCACTGGAATTTCAAGCATGGCCCCTGGTTTTCACATTTCTCAAACCAACTCTTTTTCTCTTTCAGCTAATCTCTCTTCTTCTGCCTCTGTCCTCTTTTATATCTCTACCCCTCCACTCTCTTCACCCATCACCTTCACCTATTTCCCCCACGCCATTTTTCACTTCTCACTCCTCCTTTTACCCCTCCATCTCAATCTCCAAAGTCTAACACGGTCCCCTTCTTGCTTCTTTTCTTCGCCTATTTCCGGGTATCTGGGGTTTCATGGTCTTCCTGCATTTTTCGCCCCATTTTCTTTTGCCGAATTCTCTATGGTCCCTTGTTCTGTAATCTCTTGACACAGCCCCGCCAGTGGAAGCATTTCGCGTTGACGTACGGGGGTCCCCTTGTTTCCATGTTTGCACTGTAATTCTGCATTAAAGTGGTAGTAAGCTTCGTTTTTCTGCTGAATTTGAATTGAATGGGGATTGGGAGGAGGGTGGCTGATAAGAAAGGCGACCACTTTTCTGAATTACCCGAAGAGACGAATACCAACAGCAAATCAAAGAAGAACCGGCGACGTCAGAAGAAGACGTCGCCGGTTCAAAAACTATTCAAGACTTGCAAGGAAGTGTTCGCCTCTGGTGGGACTGGGATTGTTCCGCCCCCTCAAGACATTGAGAAGCTTCGGTCTGTTTTAGGTATGTACCTTAAGTTATTTATATTAATTATCATCTCCAATACACTGTTTACTATTACTGCCTAGTTGTCCTAGCTAGGGATGCTGCTTTGTGTGCAAATTAGATCGGGAAGTTCTTTTGTGCGATTTTACTCTGGTTGCTGAATCAACTTGTGAATTCAATTTGGTCTGTTTGTTCATATGACTGGACTTTTTTGGGGAAATTAAGCTATGTATCCAATTTAATTTGCTATTCAATTTTAGTTATACTGTCTCGAATTTCTGCATATTGCTTCGGTTTTATCTTTTGCATCTAAATTATCTATCACCTTGCAAATTCTTTTAATTATTTCGAGTGGTGGGGTGTAGTTCTCTGCTTTGTGTACTATGTTCGCTCCCCTAGGCGTTGGACATGCTCCTGTGTCTAATATCGACGCGTGTATATAATTATTCCAAGGTGTTCGACTAGCAAATAAAAAATTGTTGTTATCATGTGCTTGTTACGAAGAGATTTTATCTACAGTGCAGGTTTCTGTTTGCGGTGCAATGACAAGTCCGTGTTGTATTATATGATATTTGGATAAGAAATCAAGCACAGTACACTCAATGATGACACCAAATAAAACCTTGCCATCTCTCTTCTCGTTTTGTTTATCTCATCGAGGAATTGTACAGCGTATGAGGATAATTTGGATTAGATGTGGCCAAAATAGAGAATCCTTTGATTATAAGCTAGCTAAAATAAACTGCAAATTTTTGGGTGAAACTTTTTTGCTGGATTTGGTCTTTTGCGGCAGGCATAATACCCTGGACGTTAGGACCAAGTTTTAAACTCAGCAACTGCGAGCAGTTATGATATAGCTGTCAAAATATCTCAACCTGCAAAATCTGGTGGATTGTTTTCTTGGACACTTGGAATCCAAATACGCACAGCTGCATGCCGTGACCTCAACGCCTTTATATATATATATATATATATTTTTTTTTTTTTTGGGTTTGGGCTGACTTTTCCTTGTCGCCTTTGCAGCAGCAATACTACTGAGGATCTTATTCCCAATTTTTGTTTTATATGCTGATAAAAATCATGCAACTTTGCCCTTTTTTATGCAGATGCAATTACGCCAGAGGATGTTGGCTTGAAGCCTGATATGCCATATTTCAGGACAACCGCAGCTCAAAGAATCCCAAGAATTACGTACCTGCATATCTATGAATGTCCAAATTTCTCGGTAAACAAATGATCTTGAGCTGGTAATTCGATGGTTTATAGGGAGGCATGCTGTTTTGTTGATCGTAATTGTATTTCTATGTTGAGTGCAGATGGGAATATTTTGCTTGCCGCCTTCTGGTGTTATTCCTCTTCATAATCACCCTGGAATGACGGTTTTCAGTAAACTTCTTTTTGGGACTATGCACATCAAATCATATGATTGGGTGGTTGACTTGCCCCCTCAAACTCCCGCCAGTCTCGAACCAACGGAAAGTGGGTTTTTCAATTTTTTTTTTATATTGACCTATTTCACTGTTTCTATTTTTTTTTCTTCTTGAATTACAAGAGAAAGCACAGCATAGAAGCGTGCACCCTAGTCAGTACCGAAAGAGGATATTCTATCATCATCCACCTCCTTACTACAATAAGGGGGTGGTGTTTATGAGTTATTTTGGTTTTGTGCATTAGTTTCCTTCAATCCTACACTGTATAAGCATGCGGTTAATGAGTCATATTTGAAGATATGCTATTTTCCTGCCTGACCTTTTGTCAGAGATGTGAGACAGGGGGTTTGAATTAAGTACAGATCTAGGTATATACCAATTAACTATATGATTAATCACTAATCACACTCTAAAGTCCTTACATCTGTTGATGTCATGTCGAAAACTCTGGCGACATACAAGCAGTGTCGACAAGCATCATAGTTGGACAAAACTTGTTACATGAGTGTTATTATGTACTTTGTTTGGCAATCCCATAGAATGCTCAAATTTCAGTCTGGTTTCTCCTGTTGCAAATCCCTTTAGATTCAGAACATACTGTGACTAAGTCTGAGATGTGCAACTCCCTGTTGCACACCAGTACTTTCTTGGACTAAAATATATGGCTCGTGCTACTCATTTTTTTGTGCATTTAAGGGCTAAATTTAAGATGTTTTGGTTTAAAAACTTGTCATCACCTGCATTATTGTATATGAAGATAATTTTTATACTTCTGTTACATGTGGAGAAGGTCGAGTGTTAATATTTTGATGGAGCTGCCATTGTTGATCATATGCTCTTCCAATCTTAAATCTCTTCTTCAAGTGTCTTTTACTTTCTCTACGATGAACCAAGCATAAAATAAACAAGAGACTGATATGTGTATTCCAATTATTCAGTTCAGAGTTCTGAGGTGCGGTTGGCTAAAGTGAAGGTCGATGCTGATTTCACTGCTCCTTGCAGCCCCTCCATCCTTTATCCCGCCGAGGGAGGAAACATGCATTGCTTCACTGCAGTGACAGCATGTGCAGTTCTCGACGTTCTTGGCCCTCCATACTCCGACCCTGATGGCAGGCACTGCACTTACTACCTTAATTACCCCTTTTCCAACTTTTCAGGTATCATGTCACTAACAGTGTCTTGTTAACTTTCTTACCAAATCCACCCCTCAAATTGATTGTATGCTATTTAGTTTATCTCTATTGATAAATTTTTAAACTTCAGTGGATGGAATGTCCTTAGCAGAAGAGGAAAAGGGAACTCATGAGTGGCTACAAGAGAGGGAGAAACCTGAGGATTTAGAAGTAGTTGGAACCATGTATGGAGGCCCAAAGATCGTGGAGAGCTAATCTGACACCATATGTCACTCATCTACACCATCGTCATGTAGGCGTAGACAAATTTAAATTTTCTATCGGTGGAGGAAGCCGGCTGGGTACCAGCCTTATCTGAACCGGGGTTGAAACTCGTGTTGATCTTTGTACTTGTCCTTTTTTCTAGTTCAATTTTTCAGATCCTGATGGAATATGAGGCAGCTAGTGACGATTTCAGCCGACAGTTTTATTATTGTTGTACAGATGATGAAAACATTAAATGATAAAAGAGATATACAGCACCGGAAATTGATATTGGGATGAAGGTGCGGTGGCCTTGATGTTTGAAATTGAGCAGTTGAATTCACTCAATCTTCCTTTGGGTGATTCAGAGATAATAAATAAAAGCAGGATGAAATGTATGATTCAGCTTCATTTTGCCTCCCAATTCCTGGTCTTCTTCAGAAGCCTTTTATTTCACGCCTTCCTGTGTAGTGCGATTTCCCATCTTTCCAGGCGTACTGCTTTTGAGGGAACCTTTATATCCAGGATTTTTTAATATTTAACGGAGGTTTCTTTCTTTGTGCACTTGAATAACGTTTTTAGGGTATTTATCATGAGAATTTTCAAAAGAAAGATGCAAGCCTCTCTCTATCATGGTCTTCATGCTAAAAAAAAAAAAAAGGGTCTTTCATGTCTGAAGAAAAAAAAAAATGCTCGTCTGCTACAATTCAGTTGCAGCTTGTAAGATAAACTTTGTCCCGGTCGCTTGTTGCCCTTGTATTAACCCATGGACACGTGTATGCTGCTGCTGGGCAAGGTCTCCACTCTCCGCTGAAGAACCTGCCTTCTCTCTGTCCTTTCTTTCTTTCTTTTTTTTTTTTTGGGTGAAAAGTACCGAGCTTTTTCGTGTGTCATTTTTCGCATGTCATTGTCACTACTGATAAATGCATTTGTCGATGTTATGGCAAAAGGAAAACCGGTAACAAAAGGAATAGACCTCGCTCCAACATCTTCATAATGCCCATGTTATATTAATTTTTCGTCCACATCAATTACTTCGACGACATGAACTTACCAAGTGTGTATAGTACACAATTATCAAATTTGAGATTAAGGAAGCTAGGTCCGTAGTGAATATGCAGTGACGGAGAGGTTGAGGTGGTGCTATGTCCTATGCGCATGGTGGAGTTAAACGTGAGCGGAACTCGGCAGGGATTCAGGGTGCGTAATGTAAGCGAGCCTGCATGCACGTCATTTACAGTGCATGCCTCACTGTCTACATGAAGGTCAAGTTCGACGCATTTACCCCTACATATTGCAGCAGGAATCAGCATCCATCTAGTTTCCGATGCAAGCTTGCATGTATCCACGATCATGAAGACATATATATACGATTCGGTGATGCGCCAGGGCTTCTGAACAAAGATGATATGTGGTGCAACTTTAATTCCAGAAGTTCATGAGAGAGATCGGCGCAAAAAACGAGAGAATAAGTAAGAAAAGATCTTGATTTTGGGGGGACGCAAAATTAGTAATTATTCAGGCTTTCAAATAAATAAGGAGAAGTATATTTGGTTTGGCATCGCTGCAGCGGCGCAGAATAATATGCCATTTGATTTGACACTTCGCAGTAGCTGATAGTGAAACGAAACGTCGACGTTAGATCTCCCAAAAGCTTCCCCCCCCCCCCTTTTCATATTTATTAATTCATGACTTGTTTATTTATTTTTGGGTAGGAGCCGCTTACCATTTCGAAGCATCAGTACGCTTTGGGCCTGTAAACGTTTCAAGTTTCTTTTTTTTTTTGGGGCAAGGCGATCAATAGCTAAAAACGTATGAGTATACTGTACATATCCATGTATGTTTGGCTTTTACCTTGTTAAAAGTTCGTTTATTAGAAGTATATTGAAAAGCTAGAAGTAACCCAGGAGTGCGTTTGAAAAATGAACGTTCAGCACCTGAAAGATTGTTTGTGAATTGAACTTTCTGTTAGTAAATAAAATACTCAGTGTGTCAAACAACATTTATCAAAAACTTGTTTTACAAAAAGACTTTTTGGCTCTCAAAAGTTCAAACTTCAAACCAAACATGCTCTGACTACGGTTTAACATCCAAAAACCTCGTGCGCTTTTTCTTCCCACGCTTTGGATTTTGTTTCGTCACTTGCGCTGGCGATTGAATAATACATAGCCTGGATCAGTTTAGAACCTTGTCAGAGAATTCAACACCATCCCATCACCATGAATCTCCAAATTTACAAGCTTTAATTTTAGTTTTTTTCTCCCCTTTTGAAATTAATGATCTGTTATATCAAACAATGATTTACGCAGTGTATGTTTTTTGTGCGTGCGTGCGTGTTTGTGGTAACTCAGTGATTAATGCAAACGTCAGGCTGCGGAGGTAGGTAAAGTTCCATTTGCTGTATCTCTGCGCGACGCTTTCGTTCATGCGGAAACTAATTTTAAAAGGTGAATTAATATGTATCGTATGGGAATTGCGATTTACGTCGGTTCATATTTGTGATTTAAGTCACATTCATATATTTTAGTTTTAATATCATATTTTTTATAGTTCTATATCATATTTTTTTAGAGGAAGAGAAAGAGCACTATATACTACAAAGAATTCAGTATCAAAATTATTTTTTCCTTACTCTCTCCTTTTCTTCTTTATTTTTGTACATCCAAATTCTTCAGTGTGCAGTGCAAATAGAGATGCCCATTTACAATAATGCAAAGGACGTCAATATTTCAGAAGCTAAATTAATTTGTCTAAACCGTCTTTAAATCAATGAGGAAAAAATTGTTCACATAAAATATAAAGTAAACAATGTATTCTCTTTGTTCAAAAATATAAACTCTTTTTAAGAGGTTGGGTATTAAAAAATGTAAGGTATTTTTAGTGTTTCAAGATGTGATCATTGTATGTTTTTTTTTTTCAAAGTACCTTTGATGAATAAATCATTTTATATTTATTTTAGAGTAAAATACTCTATTAAATAAAGGTAAATATGAAAAGATAATGTTAGTTTGAATACTAGTAATTACCTTATAGGAAATAAGATTCGGTTAAAAATGTCTTACATTTTTAAATGGAAAGAGTATCACATTCATTGAATTTTGTGTACTATAAAGAGCCTCATCTAGTTGAGAGTTGAAAAGTATTATCTACAACATGTAAGCTCTTTTTATTATAAATAATAATATGAATATGAGTTTCTCCTGCCAAGGGGAAAAAATCAGAAAAGCAAGAGAATCATCACATCAGCATATTTTTGCTGTGTTTAAGATCATTTCTTCAGTTCCGTATAAATTCAGAGTATTTGTATCTCTGTCATATATTAATCTCAACACTAAGGTCGATTTTTCATTTTAGTTAATTAATTAAAAATATACACATTGTTAGTTAGTAAGTAGTAATTATAATAATAAACAGAGCTTCATATAGAGCCAGTTGTATCAATTACCCTGAATCGAGTTATACCATTGGATCTTCTCATAACTAATTAGAAAAAATATAAAGTGTGGTGTTTGAACAGCAGGAGAACGTTGGTCATTAATTAAAAGGATATGCTTAAATGCCCAAATCACATGTTTAGCTTAGCTAGCTAGTCACTTAATTCAAAGGCTAATCCAAAAACCATTGACCTACTTCAATAAAATAAACCTCAACTTGCCCCCAAAAGTCTCTTCCTCCACATTTACAAAATTCATGAGTCTCTATAGACTGACGCAATTGGACCCAAAAAAAAAAAAAAACTCTCTCTCCTCTCTCATCATCAGATGTATAATTATTCTATGAATTATTAAACACAAGTTCATTGATTACGTAAGCCATGCAACCTCTTCAAGCTTTGCAGAATAATTAAGTCGCAATTAAACGTATAGAGAGGTTAGATGATAAAACCATATAGGTAATACTTGCTTTTAGACGCAAGAGAAAGACTACTAGCTGGCTAGCTAAGCTAATGGATAGACTGAAAAATATTTTCGCACGTAAACGCTTTGAATAAGACCTCTTCAATATAAATTAATGGAACATATATATTATTATATAATTAACTGCATAACAAAGAAAGGTAGAATTAATATTGTTACTGTGAGCTCGAATCTGTAAAGCATGAGATCCAAAGATAGGCGTCGCCTAACTTAATTAGAGAGAGGTTAATAAATATGGCTCTTATATACCATGGATCAAAATTTGACAAACAATCAATGCCAAAGGCCATCATATATATTAGTGTGATATCTGTGAATAAAAATTATGGGTTGGGATCGGATTGCTCGTAGTTTAATGTCAGTTTTAAAACCTCGGGTTATTACTTAGTGGCCAAGTGATACAAGTATAAAGGGGGTCTTCGCTCTTCACACGGTCATGTATCTAGCTGAAGAATTAAATATATGTGTGAATATATAATTTTCATATAAGTAATGACCCTATTTGCACCATGCATCCCGGGTTTTTTAATCCGAGTGACGACTTTCAAGAATGCGAAGAGTATTTTAATTTCTAAACAAGATCAAGTGTCAAATGGATGAGATTGTTATATAGCTCTCAGATCCCGAGGCATATGCTTTGTATCCCACCGAGAGACCTATCATGTTTAATTGGATTCTGAGATTCAAAGGTTTGGAGTTTCTGAATATTGAGCTACTCGAATCAAACAATTGGTCTTTAGCCATCCAAGTTTGCATTCTTGCGACCGAATTCATGTTTGGCACACCTAACTGAAAATATTGGAATTTGTAAAACTCATATTTGATGACTTGGACCATCAGTCCGAAATCTGAAAACTAGTAATTTATAGGCGATCCATGTTTTGCAGTGGTTTGAGAAATTTTTAAACATTCTCTTAGCTTGGAGGTTTGAAACCAACGATTTAGACTCGATCAACTACGGACCACGATCTAATTGTATTAATATTATACTATTCTTTTCCCCAAGTTATATATGTTTTATACTCAGTAAACTTCTTACGCTAAAAGCGTGTTAGCTGTTGATACCTAATTCATATACAAATGGGTTTAGTGTAGCTAGGAGGAACCTTGAGAGAAGACTGTGAACAATTATTATTATGATCTCTCTAATAATAATAAATTCCTTTTAACACGTAGAGAGCTAGATAGAGATTCTTCATTTTATCAAATAACTAAACAGACACATATATTAATTAAGAGAGGCATAAGATATAAGAAATAGGGTCAATGGGAGTGGACAGCAGTGCAAGAGCGAGGGAGCACAGAAGGCGTATGGACCGCAGAGCTGAGAGCGAAACAAGGCCTCACCATTGACAAAGACGTACGTACAGATCACAAGAGTTCAGTCGCCGCCATGGCCAACCCATTACATATTGCTATTTTGACCCTTTAGCCATGTGACGTCCTCTCATCTGTACGAAGCTTCAACTACAATAGTAGTATTATAGTAAACCAAGTAATCACATATACAATTTGTACTCTCTCTCTCTCGATCAATGATGACTTAGATTTCAGAGAGATATATAATTATTTTAATGTAAAGACGGGAATGAGCTTGGCAGAAATGTTGACCTTTTAAGAGTGTGGCTGCGTAATGGAGGAAGATGAGCACTCGGATCTGCATCTATTTATTTCTTTAGTTTAGGAGATGTGTAGTTGATTGGTTTGTGAGGGGCTATATATACTGACATACATAACCATATTATGGAGTGTATTTACGAGGTAAGAGAAAAGGTCCGCGTCTGAAATGTCAGTGGAGATCTCGGCAAAACTGTCTGGTCCTCGTGGCCTTGAAGCAGATTGCTATGTTCAAGAGGTTAGGAAACAATCCTTTGCATCTTCTGCAATTCTTACTTCTTTAAGAACTCTTGTTGCTTTTTATGATTTTTTATCTTGACTTTAACTTCAAGTGTTATCAAAATGTTTCTCAGGGTGTGCATTTAGATATGGATATTATCTTGTATCAACCAGGTTGTATAAGTATTCATGATCACAAGTTTTAATTGAATTTTATTTCACTTCAAACATATATGGAAAGAACGTTGTCTATATGATTCAAACTCATAAATCAAGTATCATATAACAACCTCAATTTTGTTGGTAACTAAAATACTGTGGGAACTGGGAACTTCAATTTTACCAATCCGGCACAAGAGCTGCATGATTCATGTACTTTGAATGGTCCATGAGCTATCGTTGCACTCCGATCAGGGCAACGCAACGGTAGTTTGATATAAATTGAATACGGTCCATTGCTTCTCTTAATTTACAAACTATGGTTCAGAAATTCAGGTCAAAAGCTAATTGATTGCATGTTATTATTTATTTTTTTTCTAATGAAGAATGATGAACTCAAGTCTGCTAAAGAAGAGATGGGTGGGGTGAAAGAAGAAAATGAAAGGTTGAAGGTGATGCTGGACCGAGTCGAAAAGGATTATCAGTCCCTCCAATTGCGTTTCTTTGATATCTTGCGGAGAGAAGCTTCTGAAAAAGGCATAGCAGATTCAGCCAATTCCCATGATGAAACTGAAGAGCCTGAGCTCGTGTCACTTTGCCTGGGAAGAAGTCCAAGGGACCCTAAAAAAGATACCAGAATTGGCAACTCGACTAAACTAAAAGAAAGTGAAGATCTGGAGGCTCGCCTTACCCTTGGATTAGACTCTAAATGTGAAGTATCAATGGAGGTGGTGTCTGATCAGAGCCCAGTAAACAGCTCAGGAGAAACCAAGGAAGCAGATGTTGGTGGAACATGTCCAACAAATAAATCTCTCAAAGCCAAAAATGGAGAAGATGAAATTTCAGAGCAAATACCTGCCAAGAGAGCGAGGGTTTCTGTCAGGGCAAGATGTGACACTCCCACGGTTGGTATTTGTCAAGGTTTATACTTTCAAATGTTTAGCACCACTAACATAGTATTCTCACAGATTTTAACTATTAAAAGTTAACAACGAATTTCTGTTTTGATGGTTTTATGTCTAATGACACAACTGATATACCTTCATAAACAGATGAGTGATGGATGCCAGTGGAGAAAATATGGACAGAAGATAGCCAAAGGGAATCCATGTCCACGTGCATACTATCGCTGCACGGTTGCACCAGCATGTCCAGTCAGAAAACAGGCAAGCATTATGATATGTATAAATTTTAGAAGTTTACATAGAGATAGAATGTAGATATTTTCATAAACTAATTTCACATTAGAGTAAGCTTAATGAAATGCCTGACTCTAGGTGCAAAGATGTGCCGATGACATGACCATCTTAATCACGACATATGAAGGGACCCACAACCACCCACTCCCAGTTTCAGCCACAGCCATGGCTTCCACCACTTCAGCTGCTGCTTCCATGCTATTGTCAGGTTCTTCAACATCTCAGCCTGCGGACAACATTTTTGCATCTTTCACAAATGCTCCTAAACTGCTTAATGGTCAAAACGTTGGACATGTCGATCTATCAAAAGCAGAACAGGCCTTCTTGCCCAACCCTGCATCACCTTTGTTCCCAACAATCACTCTGGACTTAACTTCTGCTTCATCTTCATCAACCCATGTCAATAATCGTCCACCTTTGAACTTTGCTTTAGGCCCAAGATTTCCTCCAACAAGTCTAAGTTTTTGCTCAGCGGAGCCCAACATTCCACAAGCAGTATGGAGTAATGGAATCCTTAGTAATGAGAAAACCCACATGAGGTCTCCTGACCTGGGAAATCAATTTCAACAACAGTTCCATCTAAACTGCATGCAAAACCAGGCTCCTTCACGGGAGGCTTTAGCAGAAACCTTAACCAAAGCAATCAGCACAGATCCAAGACTTCGATCAGTAATAGCTGCAGCAGTTTCATCTATAGTGAGTCAAGGATCCACCAATCTGAACCAGCTGAGGGGAGGGGAAATTTCAGAGTTAGGGTTGAACTTGAAACAAGGAGAACATGCCCAGTTTGCTTCTTCCAGTACGTTGACCCAAAATGGGAAAGGATGCTTACCAGGTTATTTCAACAGATTGTCTTCAAATTCTTATACTGGAAACTTCATGCCTCTCCAACCTCCAGTTCCATTTTCTGTCTCTAAGAGAAGCGTGCCTCCTACCATTGGTGATCAGATCAATCATTAAGGTCCTCAAGATCAATTCACAATTTTAGATTGCCTTCCCTAACCATGGATGAAGGTCGGGCGCAATTCTGATTAACCTTTTCTAAGAGATCCATCATTTAAAAGGATCTCAAAATAGCAAGAAAGATGCGAAAGATGAAAATCAGAGGCTGAAGAACCGCAGGAAATGAATCTTGTCATCTTACACCGAGTGGATTTTAATTTCCAGCAGTGCCTAGATCCATGTAATACACAAGTACAGTATAAAAATATTTGTTTTTTTATATTTTTATTTTATTTATGATAGAATTTTTTTGGCCCTCCAATCCACTACATCAAAACGTTTTACAAAATTCAAGTCAGGGAATCCAAATCCAAGACAGGGTACCAAAAACTTAGAAGAGTCCATGACAATTTAGCAGTAATTTTCATTGCGTGCATCTTATCATTTGGATTATTGTGAAATAAATGAACGTAATGAGGCAGTAGACAGCCCTCCGCTGGCTTGTAGAAGTTCTAAAGTCCACCTTGTTGCGGTTTCTGCCTTTTCAAAGTGCAGAGTATACAGTTTGAATGATAAAACGCCCTCTCTAATGTTCAAGGTGAACTTTAGAAGAGCAAGAGCCAGCAGGTTTGCAACAGATTTTAAGATATAACCGGTTCTATTTCTTAATGTAGAAACAGATCACAAATTATAAAATGAGAAACAAATTAGAGAGCATATTTAAATTGCCAAACCAATCAAAAAAGTAAAAGGAAAAAAACCAATAAGATGAGCCCCGCAACAAGTGCCAAGCAACAAGCAATAATAGAAATTACATAATTAGGGGAAAATGTTTATCAAGCTGAGTGACCCTCATTTATGTACAACAGATTATCGCTAAAATGAACTATAAGAACAATTCTGTCTCCTATATGTATCGTTCCAGAAGGAAATCAGCTTCTGATATCCAGATCCCATGAAATAACAATACACAGATGGGCACCAATTCAAATATAATAAAGAAATTTAACAACATTATCAATGAGTTTAAATCGCTACGTAGGAGCCTCCCTTGCAACAAGCATCCTGCTTTCACTGCTTCCTTTATTCTTTTACGCAGCCCTCTTTCCATTGTATCGTGTATCGTCTTACAAATATGTCAGGGTACTGAAATCCAAACCTGCTGAACAGAAACAGAAGTAAAACGCGGAGAAATTTCAGTTGTTAATAACATGATTATCAGAACGACTGTCATGAAGTTCCCAGAACAATCATAAATCTTGGAAGTTGGGATCATGTAATCCAACCAATAACTTCTAAACAAAAACTTAATAAACCAATTAAAAAAGCCCAACGCTTGTTTAAAATTGCTTTTGACCTAGATGCTCAATGATAACGAATGGCATTTGAAACCTTCATCCATATACATGAGGTGCAAGGAAATGGATCTTACAAAATAAGAAATTGGCTCCTGTCTTAATGCCTATAATTCCATGAAAAAAAAAAATAAATAAAGTCAACAGGTACGATCGAGCCTCAAATATTAAGCTAGAATTCAGAGTCATATAGTCCCAAGCATCGTGTTAGTTGAGTTCTAACTTCTTAGATGCACCATTAATTCCATTGGAGTGTAAAAGGTAAAATACAGGTCCTTACAAATTTCTAAATGCTATCAATTTCTGACATGGCTGTCATGAAACTTTCAATAATTCATGGAATGCCTCTTGTGGTATATCGACGGAACCAACTCGTTTCATTCGCTTCTTTCCTTCTTTTTGCTTCTCCAATAGCTTCCTCTTCCGAGTAACATCACCGCCATAACACTTGGCAAGAACATTTTTCCTCATAGCTGAAATCCTACAATCATTGTAAAGACCATCAGTAGACCAGATCAGAAAGAGAAAAGTCCGTCGTCCCAAGGCATGTGAATCAATGACTTGATCCTCCATCCTATGCTTTGGTTAGAGGCTCAGAATCCATTTGCTTAACAGCTATTGAATATAGAAAGATTTACAGATGATGAAATCTCTGATCAAGATTAATAATTGTAAGCAAAAACACACAGTTCCATACCAACCACTCTAGTGAAACAGTCACTCGAAAAGACACATTAGCATAACAGAAACTTACGTCTCCCTTGCTATAACTTTTGACCCAACAGCAGCTTGTACGGTTATCTCAAACATTTGCCTGCACAGAATTTAGAAAATTGGTACCAATGAAGTTAAAGCAGAAGTTTGAAACTACGACTCTTTTATACGCCAAAGGAACACCTGTCTATAACTTTCTTCAATTTCTCCACTAGTTCACGCCCAACTCGATATGCTTTCAACTTATGAACAATGGTTGCCATTGCATCAACTGGTTGTCCATTCAAGAGAATGTCAAGTTTCACCAGATCAGATTGCTGATAACTGCAATAAAACCCATCAAATGCATCACAAGGGAGAAAAAATGCCACGCCAAATTTAATTTCACTAGCCTATATTATTTGATTACATGTGACAGCCAATAAGCACATGATGAAAAGTTGTAAATTAGAACACTCCTTTCCATCAGGTTTTGTAGGCTTCTTATTCTTATACTTTATTAGATCAACAAGCATGACATGACTGTTCTGAGTAGATATACATTACAGCATAACATCATTGTAAAGAAGTAGATAGGAACAATTGTGCGTGCACAACATTAATCATGCCAAAGAAACACAGGGAAAAAAGAAACAAGTACTAACTCTGCATCCTCATAATCGAATGAAGCATAGCCTGATGTTAGACTCTTTAATTCATTGTAAAAGTCGACAACAATTTCCCTCAAAGGCAAGCGATACTTCATGAAGGCCCGTTGACTGCAGAAGTGAGACAAACTACCACAGCTTCAGCCACGGTTAAGGAGGTCAAAGTACACACTAAAATCCCAAAATTTCAAGAAAAAAGAAAACCGAAAAAAATTGGGTAATAACAGTCCTTCATTAATGGCAACTGCAGAAACAGAGAGAGGGGAGGGAGACCTGTCAATGAATGAGTACTCCAATTGCTGCCCTCTTCTCTCAGAGCAAAGAGTAATAACAGACCCCACATACCTTTGATCAGCAACAAATAAGATAGTAAATATTTGCTTTGGAAGCATCAAATAAAAGTCCACCAGGGTTTACAGAGCTTACTGACTAGGGATGATAATTGTAGCTATCACTGTTGGTTCCCAACAGGTTGTCACTCGTTGCTTGGGATTAGAGGGTAATGCAGCAGGATTCTCAACTTGCAATTTGCTGGAGAAGCACAGCAATGGTATTAGTAAACGATAAAGAGAATTTATTCTGACACACCCAGATTTATCACCTACCTTCCATCAGAATACTCAAATATATAAGGTACAGTTGGAACAGTTGAGATGACATGAGCCCCATACTCCTGTTAGTTATCCATGAACAGATAGGATTTATCAGCATAGCCATAAATGGCACAAACAAATTAATGCTAATCGAGAAAACCAACCATCAATTTTTCAAAATTCATAACACCAACGCAGATTTTTAGCCAGGTGAGTTGCAAGACAAATCACAATCGCAACGTGTGGCGTGCGTCCAATAGGGAAATTTGGCACATATTTTATTTCATAAAAGAAATATTGACTATCAGCCTGAAATTATTGGATTCCATGAGGAGATATGTTGTTACCTGTTCAAGCCGCTGATGAAAAACATCCATGTGGAGTAAGCCTAAGAAACCACACCTGCTTTTAGTTCAACGGAGACATAAGAAAATTGTCCCCCCCCAAAAAGGCAACTACATGCATATTATAGCAGAATAATAGGATCCATTCTTTTAAAAGTAGATACTAGACCTGAACCCCAGACCTAGGGCCATGCTACTTTCTTTGGTAATAGAGACACTAGCATCATTACATGTCAATCTCTCTATTGCATGGTTGAGAGCTTCAAAATCAGATCCATCTGCTGGATAAAGACCAGAGAATACCATATGTTTTGCCGGTTTAAAACCTACAGTTTGGAAGCATTGAATCTATATTTAAAATAATGACTTTCCAATAAGAAAGGCAAAGGTACAGGCCAAAACAAACTATAAGTGATAACGTTGGTGCATGCACGCCCACAGAGAGAGGGGGAATAACAAAATTAATGACACGTCAATTTGATTGCTTACATACTTATTTTTCAAAAGTAAACAATAATTTTGGAAAGAATAAAATGGACTCAGGCCAGTTCCAGTAACTCTAAAATTTGCAATTACAAGGTATGTCTACAACAACTAAAAAGAAATTCTCAGTAGTAATGAGCAGTGAGAACAACCAACATGCATGGAACTCACAAACCACCAACTGAACTGTCGTATAAAATGATTTTATATATAGTTATTTTATCATAAAGTTGCCAACTAAAGTCAGAAGATGGAAGATAAAGAACGGTAGCTATACCTGGAAGGGGCTCTATAGTGCTTCTGGTATGGAAAAGTGTATCTCCAACACGTGCCTCTTTGGTTGAGCGCATGCCACTTACAACATAACCAACTTGTCCAGTAAGCAACATCCCAGTAGATTTAAGTTCAGGATGCATGATGCCTACATCCAAAGCTTCATAAGCCTGTCCAGTTGCAGCTGATGAAATTTTATCCCCCTTGCGCAGGGCACCATCAACAATAGCAACATGGCATATTACCCCTTTGTATTCATCATAATAAGAATCAAGCAAAAGCATGCGTAGAGGAGAACTACTCTTCCCAGGAGGTGGAGGTATGCGCTCTATGACAGCAGGAAGGACTTGCTCAAGACCCTGTCCTGTTTTAGCAGATGTTAAAAGTGCGTCACTTGGGTCAAGATCAAACATTGATTTTAGTTGTGCTTTAACACCATCAGGATCAGCAGTTGGCTGGTCTATTTTGTTTATGACGGGAATAATTGCTAGGTTGGATTCAAAAGCAAGATAAAAATTAGCAACAGTTTGCGCCTGCACTCCTTGAGCAGCATCAACAACCAAAAGAGCGCCCTGACAAGCCGCCAGTGACCTCGACACTTCATAACTGAAGTCTACGTGCCCGGGAGTGTCGATAAGATTTAGCAGAAAGTTTGCCGGACCTTGGTCGTCACTAGATGTGGTTTCCTCAATGCCGTGCTTATAGAACATTGTTGCTGTCTGGGCTTTAACCGTGATACCCCTTTCTCTTTCTACCTAAGACATTTCTAACTTCAGCAAATAAGTGGCATTATGGAATATAAGATTAAAAAACAAGGAAAATAGTTTCATCTATCAAAGTTACAGATTATTTCTCCAGTAATATAAGGCATGTAGAACATTACTACAAGGCAAATGTTACTTGAAGACAAAGGGGCTGCTAATTCAAAGCAACAGTTTTTGAGAATGCCCTTCATGGTAAATGAGACTGTCATGTGACATAGCACTAAATGAAATAGGTTGCACTTTATGGTACCTGCAACTTGTCAAGATACTGAGGTTGACCATGTCCCTTCTTAATAGTCCCCGTAAGCTCAAGCAGCCGATCAGCAAGAGTGGACTTGCCATGATCTATATGCGCAATTATACAGAAGTTCCTAATTAGCTCTGGAGTGTATTGAGTCAAATCTACTCGACTGTTTTCTTTGCTGTTTTGGCGTGGTTGAGAACAGAACAGTGCACGGCTTAGAGCAAAGCGACGACAAATTAGTCTGCTTTCTAATTCTAATGATATGCCTCCGTAAATGGAGGACAACGGGGTTGAATTAAACAACAGGGACAGGTACCTAGACTGCCCTAGCCTCTTCGAAGCTCTCCTCAGATAACCCATTCCAGGGTTTCAGGTTTGGGAGCTGCCCGCTCGGAAGTCAGAACAGAGGCAAGACAGAATGGAACGAAGCCGGCAAGCGACGTCGTTGGGGGATCTCATCTCAAGCGTCATCAATGGCTTGAGAAGGGACAGAACAGACAACCAACCTCATGAGTGGATGATTTCTTCATTGTGGATCTGGACATACCGACATATGAACCCACTGTTGTCTAATGTACATCTGGGCCCAAAGGCCTTTTTTTTTTTTTTTAACTTTGCCAAAGCTATTGTTGGGAGATTCATGAAAAGAATTTTCTTTCCTTTTTGTTTTGGGTACAAAAACAAAATTTTCTTTTTAAAACATTAACAATTGATTTGGATAAAAAAATGTATTTTTTATTCAATTTTTCAGAAAATTTTTAACTAATTAGAGCGTTTTTGTTTCTATGGGGAGTTGCAATTTTTTTAACTAAATAAATAATTGATTCTTACCCCGGCTTATGTTTGAGGCTCAAGTATTTATCATGTCAAGATTAAAGTTTGAGAAAACATAATTTTAAGTCTTTACACTTCACTCACATTTTATTATAAGTCTTTGTACTTTTTTATATATTCTAAGTTCCTACACTTTTATTTTTTAATATTTTAAGTCCCTAAATGAATAAAGTGTAAAAACTTGAGGGCCTAAAACACCAAAAAACAAAAATTATATGAATTTAAAACAAAAAAAAGTTATAAAAATTTATAGTAAAATAAAGTAAAGTGCAAGAACTTAAAGTTATATTTTCTCTTAAAGTTAACACTAAATATTTAAACTCATTCGACTTTTCAACAACCTTGAACCCGGGGGAACTTATGAACTTGCTATCAGGTTTACAAAATTGATAGGACAGTTAAAATGTAGCAAAATATTACAAAGTAGAGTAAAGCTACATTTTTCCCATCGAAGAGGTGGCAAGGAATCATCAGACTCGTCAATTAATCTCAATTTGCTAACCTTTTGCTATTGACAAAAATTTACACATAATAAGCAAGCATGAAAAAGAAAGTCCTAATTAAACATTTCACCCAAAAAAAAAGGGTTGATTAAACAGTAAACACTAAGGTTGGACTTTTCGTTTCGGCCCAGGAAAAAAAAAAAAACAGTACGCACATAGGTAGAGAGAATCACAGCATTTTGCAATCGATTTATATGATACAGTGCTTGTATGCTGCATGGCGTTAAGTGTAATGAATTGGACAACGCATGTGCCGAAGAATAAGGAAAAAGATTCAGATATATTATATTAAGAGACATGAGCTTTGATATATTATTGATATTGAATTATTTAAAAGATTCAGTTATATAACTCCGTCAATTAATTCCGGGGGGGGGGGGGGGAGAATGAGTTGGGGCTGCGAATCGAACGTTGCAGATTCAAGACACAGCAAGGACAGTTTTCTGTTGGATTTATTTAATTTAACACGTAACGGATATTATATATATATCATTAATACAATCCAATTAACGTTGCTATAAAAAACACTTTTGACGTGGCTTTTTTAAACATTTTCACATCACATAATATTGACAGATATAAAAAGTTAAATTATTCATGTCGCCTTTAGGAGTGGTGTGAATAAGATTTTCCACGTGACATGGTTTCTAGCATTTTTTTTAAGACAAATTAATTGACGTAGATAGAAGACTTTTGCGTCACTTTTTTTTAACAAAAAAAAGTGAGGTAAAAAGTTTAGGGGATTTTCTTTTGGATTGATGGTATTTTGAATCACCCTAAATCCCAAAAAAAAAAAATACCCCTATATTGTTAAAAAAATAGAGAAAAATAATAATTGATCATCTTTATAAATATTAATTATATACAAAAAATTTCAAGCTCTACTTGGACAATAAACATAAGGACAAGACAGCTTCTCCAAATGAAACACTGCAATTTTCCCCTTCCATGTTTACCTAGCTACACATCAAGCTCTACCAGTTAAACTTATTCTCACTAAAATGCCAAACTTGTAACTCCAGCAGTGAAGCCCAGACTACGGATGGAATCTCAAATTATAACTACATGAACATGTTATGATTCAGTCTATTATGCCATTGACCACAATCGTGGCTCGAGGTCCAAATGTTGGTGAAAATGTCAAGAGCAATTCTCAATCAAAAGTTTCAACTCTACATACTATATTTCATCAGATACATGTACGCCAAAATTATTGAGCCTATAGCTTGAACAATCACTATTGATGAAAAGAGAAACCGAGTCAAATATCAAGAAATACCTCTCCAACAAAACTCAACCTACGAGTAAATCAATGCTTGGATTATTGAACATGAGCATTCTTGATGTGATCCCTCATTTGGGTAACATTTATCTGCTTTCAACTGGGTTCTTTGAATATCATATATAACGACCTAACATTGATCGTAGTATGTAGACCTGTAAAATGTAATAGGGTAAAAGACCAAGCTAGATAAGCATTACATGAGTTTACTAGTTACTAATTTATATAAAAAGCATGTGAAGTAGAAGAAGGGCATAAATATATAATGTCAAAAGTGTATCCCTTTAATCAAAGGCAGGTACGAATGAATATATAATGTGGATGCAGTGAAGTGGGGATATATAGGATCTATTTGCTAACTTCACTTTTAACTTTTAAAAAATGCTTTTGATATTTTTAAAAGTTAAAAGTTGTTTGGGTATAAAAAATATGATGAAAGTATTTTTATAGATTTGTTTTTGAAAAGTCATTGAATGTGGATTTGCCCAACTTGATTTTCCTTAACTTTTGATATGTGCTTTTCAAATGTGATCCATTAATTTATGACATGATCATGCCACCCCTGATTTTTATTTAAAAAAATTGCAGGTAATTTTTTGATAAATCACATGTATAAATAACCAAAAACACACTTATTGTAAATGTGGGTGAAGATGGTATTGAAATGTGAATTTGCCAACTCTATTTTTTGGTAGATTTAAAATTATAGATGAGAGTTAAATTGTACCTACTTTTATAAATGACCATAATATTTATGTTTTAATTTTTTTAATTATTAAACTATATATTTTTTATTCTTGTTATTTAACATATTAAATTTTATTTTTTTCATATTTTTAATATATTATATTTATATAACAAAAATTATCAATTATTATAAATTAATGTTCTTTTTAATTATTGCATATTTAAAAATACATTTTAAAAGCACATATTTTTATTAATTCAAATAACTTTCAATTTGTCAAACTGACTTTTAAAAAAATATATTTAAATACAAATTTCTTTATAACAACTCACTTTCACTAAACTGATTTTTGTTAAATAAATTTTTATCAAACTGATTTTTGATAAATTGAAAATTAAATACACATATTTGCTGTGGATATATGTGTTTAAAAAAAAGAAACAATTTATGATAATATTGTTTGTCTTGGAAGTAGACCAACATGTTCACCAACCCCTCACTTGCACGTTGCTCTGCTTCATCCCACTTTACGTTTTCTCTCCTCTGCCTAAATAGACTGCTCAAACAAAACCAAACAGATATATATAATCTAGTTCAATGAAAGAAATCACTTCTGTGTGTGTGTGTGTAACCTCAATTTAATTAATTTCACTCCTTTCTCCATTCATTATGGGAATATAAAACCTGGTCACAACTTAAAAAGGAGTCAACAATACTCACACCTGATCATCAAACCCGTATCAACAATAGGAAGGCAGACCGCCCGCTCCTGTCACATGGACTTATTTGCTTGTCCAGTGAATATATCAACTAAATTTCCCATGTGCATCCCAAACAATTCTCTTTTATTATGTTATATCTTCTCCCTCAAGTTATGCAGTGGCAAAGGTGGAAAAAGAAAAAAAATGCTTTTTTTCATTTTCGGCCAAGAAAAGCACCTTTTCTTATCAACTTACGTATATTAATGTTTCTAACTTTTAATTTGAATATTTTATTTGATTTGAATCCATTATTATAGTTATATTAGGAAATATAAACCACAAACAGTTAAGATATCAAGAAGTTTACATCCTTAATTAAAAAAAAGGGGGGGGGTGCTCTCCAATCAAGGCATTATGCAAAGCAAATCTAACCGGACTAATACCTGACTTGAGAGCATTGAGAGTTCCCTTCACAGCCAGATCGATCAGTTCAGCTTGAAATGGAGAGTGTAACATTCATGAGCTATAAAATAAGGACACTGACTTTTTTTTCAGACAAGAAACTCGGCTCAGGAGCCAAGGGAAAAAAGAGAGAACACTCTCAGTTTAATAAAAAATTATATTATTCTTTCGTGATTTCGAATACAATGGAATGAGGGCTATTTATACTAGTCTTAAGTGGACAAGAAATTAATATCAATGGAGAGGTTATGGAAGAACTTAATTCTCAATAGAAGGGGGTTACAAGATTTTAAAGTACTTAACAACACTTATTGGGAGCCTCTGGAAGTTACAAACACTATTATAATTTATGGATAGGAAAGTTATGAAAATAGTAGGGGTTATGGAGATGAAGCATCTAATTTTGTCTTATTCTCTCTAGGTTGAACATGACTCGCCCTTGAGTCAAATTCGGCATCATCATCGAAATACACAGATTGATGAACAACTTTGAATCGTAGAGACTCCACAAACACCAAGAAACTCTACTTTTTCTGGATAGGCTAATGTGTCACTGACTAGACACGTCAAGCTAACAAGTTGTTGACATGATCGTCTTCAACATTTGTCAGAAATGTGTGTATAATCCCCAGTCTTGGGTTTTTGGACCTTTTGAGCATGATGGTAACATGTGTTTCACTTGAAACTGACCAAAAGTAAGTGTTCAACGATGGTAGTGGCAAACTGACCTCTATAACCTCACTTTCCAAATTCATACATCTTCGTCTCTTAGTCACTCGCCATCAGATTTGGAATCTTGCTCTAATACCAAAATGGCTTAAGAGCCAAGGGGGAACACTCACTTTAATAAAAAAAATTATATTATTCTTTCATAATTCTGAATACAATGGAATGAAGGCTATTTATACTAGTCTCAAGTAAACAAGAAATTAATGCCAGTGGAAAGGTTATAAAAGAACTTAATTCTAAATGGAGGGAGGTTACAGGACCTAAAAGTATTTAACAACACTAATTGGGAACTTATAGAAGTTACAAAAACTTATTATAATTTATGGATAGGAAGGTTATGGAGATAGGAGGGGTTATGGAGATGGAACACTCAATTCTATCTCATTCTCTTCGGGATGGACATGACTTACCCTCAAGTCAAATTTGGCATCATCACCAAAATACAGAGATTGATGAACAACTTTGAATCGTAGAGATTCCACAAACACCAATTCTGTCTCAAAACTGGCTACTGATAGATTATAGAAAATCCATTAAGAAGTAATCATAAAATACTCAAAAAGAGTTCTGTCCACTTTCGTTAGCCAAGAATTATGGGTAAGAGATTCCAGATAGAACTTTAATATCTACAACAGGAAAAGGCCTAAGTTACAACCATTTATTTGCTTCTAGCATACATTGTTCCCACAAGAGAGGTGAAGCTCAGTAAGTGCACTTGTGCTTCTAGCATTTTGATAATATAATAATTATGCATCATAAAGATCACTTACCCAAAGCCCCAAGAATTTTCACATCTACCGAAAGTTACATAAATTCTGGTCCAAGAATATGTAATTTGCTAAAGGTTAGGGCATAAAAATCAGAATTTGGTTTATCTTAAGATGCATGCCCCAAGCTAATCAGTAACATACATCTAATTAAGGTTAGGCATATTGAGCAGAATTGGCTAAATGATTTCAATATAAGAATTTTGATTTACAATAAGTACAATCTAAATTTTTGTCCAAAAAATGACCCGTTAGCATGTGTATGTAATTTCTATTCACAAGATTGTGACATACTTTAAGAGAGTATAACAAATGAAAGAGATGATATTTACAATAGATAAACCACTTTTGCTAGATCACAAAGCTGCAAACCAAGAAATATGTTTAGCACATACATACTGGTGGAGCCTTACCAGTCAGATCCTTCGCGTGATCATCTCAATGGCTCCAAGTCTTTAGTGAAGTTGTACTCAAAAAAATCAAAGCATATCAAATTGTAGACAGATATGTAGTTTGCTAACCTCCATTAGACATCTATGTTACTAATCCTAGTCCTAGTTGAATAATACCTAAAATCATAGACAGAACATAAAACAAGCAGAAAAAGCTATAGACCACCCAAAAGTCCAAACCCATGCATTCAATACCCCTTATTTTGACTGTCCAGGCAAATCCAGTACATTAAACAATCAACCTTGCAGATTATCAGTAGATAACACGAGACTCCAATTCCCAAAGAGGGGGCATATTACCATGTGCACATAATAGACATGGACAAACTTTCTTAATGCTTTTAGATTACAATTTTAGATCAAATTAAGTCAACATCCAGAAGACATGAAATTTACTAGGGAGAAGAAATAATGCAATTGGGTTTTGCAAAGTCCAGTTTCATTCTACTCCATTTATACTACAGGATGTGCTCATATACTCAATTTCTCCGCAAAATTCCCACATTATTCATTTGTGCAAAAGAGCATAACAAGAACTTGAAAATTGGATTCGGACACAGCAAAAATTGAACAATGTCAATAAGGGATATTCTTCATTCAATGATCCATGTATGACTGACCGAAGCGCTCATATAATTTGTAGCATACTCAAAACTGGGATCCTTAAAATGCTCTAATTTTTTCGGAATGCCAACTTCAGTAAGAAATTACCAGCAAGTAAATTTCAAAAACTTGAAAACTGAAATAAACACACAAGCTGATATAAGAGAAAGAGAATGAGAATGGAAACCTGAGAGATCAACCAGGCTCTTCCCATGCGCTTAACGAAATCAGTGGAGTCCACCATAGACGCACGGATGCTCGAATTCCTAATGGTGATTAAAAGTAAAAAGAATTTTAGAGCACACAAGCTTGAGCACAAAAGGATAAATATTCCAGCCTCCTATAGAACAGGCAGGGGATGCAAACTCAAACGAGCAAACAAGAGAGCTGACACGGTGTCCCAATGCTTACAAGCAGAAGATTTATTTGATTAATAAATAAATCTTTGAATAATAAACAACAGTGAGATTGACGGAAGTGAGGAAAAGGGCTGATCTGCAAGAATGAGAAGGCAGACTTGTAAAAATACACAAAAATAGTAGATTTACTAGTTCTTCTAGCAACGGTGTGAGCAGAAGCACGACAGTGGCGATGCGACGGCAGCGAACTATAGGAGTAGTGGCAAAGTTGCGATCGAAATGGAAACAACGACCAGGAACTAAGGTGGGGCGACAAAAGTGGCAAAGTTGTGATCTGAAAAGGAACTGTACCTAAACTGACACACACAACAAGCAATGTGAAGAAGAACAACAGTTTTCAACAATGAATGATCAGAAAAGGGTATGACCTTGTTGATGGAGTTTCAGAGCAAGTAGCTTCTAGTGACAAGGCCCTCGCTATCGATAAATTTCAAGAGGAAAAATGAAAATATAATGAAATGCCCGGGGCAATTTTAAATGAGAAGTGATGTCGCTTTCTAGGGAGGGACATGTCCTCAAGAAACTGCGTCCGTTCTCTAAAGCTACGTTTGATTCGAGAAGAGGGAAGCAAAGAGTAGAGAGGAGGGAAGATCCCCTCAATTTGATTAAGAGGTTTTAGATTTAAACAAGAGGAGAGGAGCTCTTGTTAGGCAAGGTGGGAGGGAGAAAAAAAAATTTAAAATTTTTTCTCCTCTCTCCTCCCCTTCTAACAAAATAAGATGTGTGTTTTGAAACCCTAATTGATTTAAGGGGAGAGGAGGAGAAAAGAAAGATCTTTCAAATTGAAGGATAGATTTTAGAGAGGAGGAAAGGAAAATTTTTAAAAAAAAAAATTTCTCTTCCACCTTATCAAGCAAGGGAAGGGGAGCTCCCTTCCCTCCAATCAAACAAGGTTTGAATAATATTTTATTTTAATTAAATTACCTTAAAGAATGACTATATGTGTTTAGTTTTTAATTTGTTAAAAATTTATTTTGTAAAAATTAATTTGGAAAAAGTTAATTGTTATAATAAAAATTTATATTTAGATTAAAAAAATTTATGCTTTTAAATTTAAATATACAATGATCAAAAAGATATTAATTTATAATAATTTATAATTTTTATTATACAAATATAATATATTATAAATATTTAAAAAGTGTTAAACAAATTTCAAATAACATAAAATTTAAAATGTTAAGTAATAAGAATAAAAATATAAAATTTAATATTGGAGAAAAAAACTATGTAATAAATAGTTAAACATTCATTAATATCGAATAGTTACATAATTAATAATTCGCTCTATAATATATAATATAATCTCTAATAGAATGTCAAACCTTATTCTTCTCTCTATCAGAAGCCATGCTTGAAATTGCACTCATAATTGATGATGAAAATGCATACTTATTATTATTATCATTAGTGTTAATCATATTTTCATCCTCAAAATCCTAAAGTCAAAATCAGTTACATATTTTTTCTAATAAAATTATGTATAGCCATTGTTGCACCAATTATACGAACTTACATCGCAAATGGATAACTAGGCGTGTGTTGTAAGATTGCAAATTTATTTTTTCAAACCCAAGAAGTCTTGTCAATCGTGATCCTTAAATTTGAATGATAGTAATTGAAAACCTTATTATTATTTGCAAATCCAAATGAATGCCTAAAATCTGGGAGGTGATACCTATAAATATCCATATAGCGTTGAATAGCCAACATCCAACAAATAATATTTATCTACTATTAAAAAATAGAAATTGTAGGATCCTAAAAGATATTGAAAAAATATTTTAAATTAGATAAATATGAAATATACTTTGGGGTGGATGTGAACAATTCATGTTCGGCCTTGTGAGTGCATAGTTAAATAAATGAGCATTATAGGTAGTCTCTTCCTATCCAACCATGACATAAGTGAAGCATATATCCCAATTACATGCAGCCGTTATATTTTATGTTGGAATACTTTTTCTTCCAATATACTTCCCTTACTCTTCAACACTGACCACACATGAGATATGTGTTTCATTAATTGCTCCTATAACATCTTTAAAGCATGACCAGTATTACGGGTTACCTAAAATTTTGGATGTGTATCTTGAAAAGTGTGATCTTTTAGTTAGATATATTCCTTTACTAGCTTCTCACAAGCATGCAATACATTTTTAAAATGTATGTTAACAGTATCTGCTGAATGTTAAAACTATTCCTGTGCCATCTTATTGCCCACCTCATGTCCAATAATATTTAGGAACATACCAATCATTTGATGAATCCATGTTCTTCTGGTTAGACACAGACCATGTTGCACAAGTTCATCACAGAGTGAAAGAAAAACATCATTTTCAATACGAAACATGTCACACCCTAGTACTAAGGGTATTGATAACTTCCAATGTTTTAATAAATTTAATAGTATTTTTAATGCAATTAGAAGTCATCTTGTGGAATTAATTAGCAAATATGTGATTAAGTAAATAATTATTTATGAGATTTAAGGTGAATAAAGTTCAAGACAATTGTTGAAGTTAGTAGATCAATTATGGCATTAAATCTGAGTTTTATTCATAAAGGGAGGCCCAATTTATGGGCCCAAAGTTGATAATTTTGAAGCCCACAAGAAATTGAATTCTGCCTAGTGATGCTATAGTACCAATTTTAAATGTCGTGACATTAGACTAGTTTTTAGCAAAATGCATAGCTTCACTTAAAATCATGTTTTAAGGGCTTCTAGCTATCATTTCCATTCTAGTTCGTCTTTAACCAGTAGCTGCACATCCATGGAGCATTCTAAGGTGGATAAAGAGTTTGGAAAAGCTTGGGAAACACTTGGGTCTTACGATTTGTGACAGAAATCATCCTTCCCAAGCTTTCTTCTCCCTTTTCTCTACATTTTAATATATCTTTTGCTGAATATTATTGCTTTATGCTGTTTTAATGGCTGTTAGTGGCTGAACACGTTTGACCTAGAGTAATTATATACTTGTTGGTGGATTAGAGCTTGTTTTTACCCATTAATTATGCTTAATATTAATTTTGATTGCTCAATCTTACATTAATTTGTTTATTTAATGTTTGGCCATCATTAAATATGAATTTGGGTGTTGGGGTTTTCCCTTAACAAAGGGAAATCTCATTTAGACCCTTAGATTAAATAATATGAGATTAGATTATAATTTAATTTGTAATTAAGATAAAAATATATCTAATTGCCTCATATAATCAAATTAGAGTGAGTTGGAATTAAAGTTGCCTCTTGGATAATTTTGTTAGAAATAACATAATTAATTTGAGAGAGGTTATTTGATGTTCGAAAGGCCCTCATAGCCATTCACACTCTTGATTAACAAATTACCATTAAAAATTAATTAATTGGGTAAAAAGCAATATCTATGAAGCTAGTAAGGGATTAGTGACTCTATGTTGCACTGGACATTTGTAGTTGCTAGATTGGAAATCTCATTGCATTTTATTCATTTCACTTTTTAATTTTGCTTAATCAATCGTTTCTAATTGATTTTTCTTAACGTGAACAAAAATAAAAATTTTATTGTCTAATTGCTATTATGTTTGATTCCTTATGGGATCGACCTTGACGCACTATAATTGCACTTTGACCCATACAATTGCAGTGAAACATTTTGTGTACATTAGGTATGATCGATATGGAATTTGAGATAACTCACATTCCAAAAGCCTAAATTAATCCAAGTTTAAGCCAAAAAATTGACGTATAATAAAAAAAATATTAGTCTTAAAAATTTTGTAGAAATTTTGACAAAATCTCCCCTGTAATTTGAACCTCTAAAAATTTTTACAATAACAAACCTATTAGCCAATCTAGCAAAGGATACTAGCTATATACCAATAGGTTACATATTAGAAATGTAAAACTAGGATCTAACTATGTATATGTGGAGCATTAACTTGCAATTATACAATACAATACAATACATAATGTCCCCAAAAAGGGATATTCATAATGCACTTCCTATTTCCAAAAAATAATATGGCCCCTCAATGACCCATAGGAGGCGCAGGGTCAGCTACAGTATCTGAGATCAAAGAATTTCTGATAAATAGCATTCCAATCAAAATTATAAATAAATATAAAGAATTTATGAAGATAATGACTAATAAAATTAATTAGAAAACAATTCAATGAAATAATTGAACATATACTTAATTAAAAATAAATAACAAATTTTCTCAATAACATAATCATGAAATTTAACAATAATAATAGAATCACAGAAATGAATTAAAATTTGTATTGCTCATAAAATATAAAAATTTTCAATAGTAGTGCAATGCGATAAAATGCTTCTGGAGAACCAATCTAAAAATGATAAAATTTAATTTAATTTAGGAGGATTTTATCAAAATGAATAACAAGCATGGACGCATAGTTCACAAGGGCAAATAGCCAATCAAACATAGACATACAGTCCACAAGGATAAGTAACAATCAAGCATGGCTAAAACCACGAAACAAGCACAGGCATAAAGCCCACAAAATAAGCGTGAGTACAATACTCACGAATATCCATTTCTCTGTTTCACATGCATTGACCTGCGTACAGGGCTAGTGTAACATCCCAATTTAAATTTTAATAGTTAATTTTGGTTAATAAAAATTTTGAAAAATATTTAGAGGTAAGAAAATTAGTAGAAAATAATTATTAAATCTAACTTAAGATATAATTCTAAATTAAAATTTAAAAAAATTATTAATTAATTAATTAAAATATTATTAAATTATTATTATTATTATAAAAAAAAGAGAAAAGGTATGAATAAAAAAAAAGGGAAGAAGAAGAAGAAGAATGAGCTTGCTTTCGGCGCCGCGTGCTGCAATCATTATATATATATAATAATAATAAAAAAAGGGAGAGAGAGGAAAGAAGAAATAATAAAAAAAAGATGTGGAACCCACTGAATTTTATAAAAACTCACCTGTTTCCTTCGTTTCTTTATTTATTCCTTCGTGCGCGAGCTGAAGCAGAGTGAGCGTGAGTCGCCGGTGCGGGAGATTTGAGTTTTTAAGGTAAGAGTTTTTAATAGGATATTTAGGGTGTGATTTTAAACTTTTCAAGACTAAGTAAGTGTTCTAAAAAATTTTCTTAGTCATCCTTCCTCTTTGGTTTCTGATTTTGTAGTGGTAAAAAATTTAAGATCTGGAAGAGGGATGAATTTATGTTGAATAAATATAATTTTTAAGGTTGTTAGTAGTATAATAAATATTATAGAGTATAAATTTATTGGTGATCTTTGAATTTGTGGCTTATGGATCAAATTCTAAACTAGATCTGAAAATATATGTTGATTTATTGAGGTTTAGATGATTATTTGGGATGAGAAATGAATTATTATGGCTATAGGATTATGATTCTAAGCTAGAGACTCAATTTTTAATTTTTGAGTATTTTAGGTACGAATTTATGAAATAAAAAGAAAATTTTGATAATAGAAATTAGTTTAGAAGCTGATTTTTAGATTATTAATGTTTATTGATAATTAAAAGAGGATTTAAAAATTTTACTTAATAGTGTTGACTCTAGATTTGTATTAAGATTGAGATTAGGAATTATGT